GTTATTTGACTTAAACTGCAATATAACATCGGCCCTCCTATAGTGTAGGATATATCACTCTGTATATCAGATTTTTCATTCGTCCATCATGCCATAGACAATAAAAATTATGAATATGTAATATGTGCGCTGGTGTCATACAATCCGTAAGCAAAGCGCATATAGACTAATTTAATGTAAAATTTGCTTACAGATATTTTTTCTCTCAAACTATCTCGAGCTACTTCGACCCACTGCGCGACCGTTCAGACCGCGCTAGAAGCACCACTCTTGGGGCTGATTTGCATCTAAATATCGGTTTTTATCTGCAAACTGAAAACAAAATAGATCGTAACAGTAACCGTTAACTCCTTGCTGATTGGTGAAGTTTATCTATTCTTTAGTGGTGATGATGATGGCACTTAGTATTCACAACATCCTTGGAGTCATTCAACATTATAGTTCTCTTAAGAAGATGTCAAGGAAATTTCTTTGCCTTAATAGCAGACAACAGTCTTGTAAGCAGCACATAATATTAATGTGAGAATAATATGTATCAGGTGGACAAATAGTAGGCTCAGACATTCAAATAATGTTTGGCGGTAAGGAATTTGCAGAAAATGTTATAAATTTTGCCATAGTGTAACATAAGTGTTTTTGACTCGGCATAGTATACTACTTCTACAAACAACATTGTTGTACATACGGTTGATTGGCATAAGGAATATTAAAATTATTCCCAACAAAGTAACTTGGTGGGTATTGAAATTGCCAAATATGTGTAGGTACATGATTCAATTCATGTTTATGACGTAATCTCGTAGATCGCAAAAATAATTTACCACCAATGAAACATTCATGATCTGAGAATACCGGAAAAATGCAAGATTATATCTCATCAAATTTCTCGAGCGAGGAGTCAAAATTCGAAAACGCTGGCTCTAAATGCTGAAAAAATAAGAAATGTCTTTCTAATGTTAAATGCATCCATTTCATGTTCTATTCAGAACGATATTTTTCTGACTTATGATCTGAATCCAAGGGAAAATTAGAAAAAAACATAGTTTCTTTATCGCTTAATTAGACAGACAGTTATTCAAATCATCCAACGCAACAGTGTAATTGGCGTGTAACAGGTTTTATATTTCCTCACCACAGATGTCTAGGAAACTTGTCCAGGCATCTTCGGCAGACACATATGGAGCAGTCACACTATTCGGGCAAATCTAAGATGCTCAAGTATCAAGCACTCCTTCAGATTGAGCCTGGGATTTTGGTCGAGATTTTTTTTTCAACAGTGTAAGCAGTGTCGTGGACTGTTGCAATCAGTGTAATTATTCAATCAATGAACTTCAAATTACTGATTATATACTCACAAATAAAAACCTAAACTGAAAGGTACTCTTAAGATAAATGTTTCTCATTCACTAAAATGATACATTGTAAACAATTTTTGCACAGTGATCTTAAATAATAGCCACCAGGCACCAATTTTAGCTGTATTGCAATCTTTTAGCTGTTCTAACTCCCTTATATGTATTGTTCTTAACGCTTACCATCGCTCAGATATTATTGACAGGGTGCGCTTGTAAAGTTGGTGAACCCATTATCCGTAGGATAATTGGAGGTCACGAGTTCGCGAAAATGTAGGAGCCCAGCTCTTGCATTGTAATTTCGTTTAAAGTGGTGCGACATAGAATGAGCAGCAAGTCTGCGAATTTACCACTTGCCAGATGTGTATGTGATTTGGGATTTATGGTATTTCCAAAGGTCGCCTAGATGGAAATATTCAAATAGAAAAAAAAAACATATTCTCACGATTTCCTCTAAAAGACTTACATTCGTTCAATCTTAGGCGTGAAGATATGCGATTATAGCATTTAGACTTGACTAGTTAAACGAGAATTTAGTCCTTTTAAGTAGATTATACTAAATCGCGAGGAAAATGAATGAACTTTAATGAAGCAATATCGATTTTTAGACGTTTCCGCACAAAAAGTAGACTCTCAATGTAAAGTTAGAGCTACAAGCGAGGAAGAAGAAGAAAACATTTTTTAAAAAAAGAACATTTAAATTAAAATAAAAGTTGCGTTGGGCAAGCGGATTTCCATTAGGTTTAAAGGAATACTATAAGGCATTGCTTAAACAAGAACATATTTTGACTAATAAAAGCAAAGGCTATTAAGGAGAAAGTTATGACTCAAATAAAAACCTCACCTAGATCTCCGTCACTAAATTATTGAAACATATAAAATGTACTCCTTCTTTCGAAAAATAAAAATGTATATTTTTATTCTAAAAGTCAACAATGCATTGTGACTTCAAAACGTGACCTATGAGTGTTTGTTTACAAGATCAGCGGATAATTTAAGCTTGTCAAACAGGCACTCAGTCTTGAAAATCACCCGAAGATCTCTGAGATCATGATTTTTTACGAGAGTAATTATTACTCAACTTTATGCATACGACGTCATAAAAATCTGAAGTTCATCTTAGCTAAATCTGCGTCGCAACCTAAAAATAACTCTGATGAGGGACGTCAATGAGGCATCATCCAATGTAAGGAAGGTTGGGCATGAATGTTTGGTTTCATAATCAGTGGAGATCCACTCCACTTACGGGTCACAGGGGTAGTTACCTTGCTAACAGAATTGAATGATGTTTTCTTTTAACTGTTCTTATCTTGATCCTTTGGCAAAATGGACGCCACTTTTAAAAAAATGAAATAAAATAAATCTTGCTTGATCGAGATTTAGTCTTTATGACAAAATTTGCTTCGATCGATACAAATATTGTTGATGCACTTCTGTTACATAGTGCGACGACTGTACACTGAACTCTGGCTCCGATGAAATGAATAAACTTTCCAATTTTTTTTTTTTTTTTTTTTTTTTTTTCGTGTGCTGTTTTGTATGTTTTTGTACTACAGTAAAATTTTACGTACAGGTATGGATGTTTTCTCAGAAATTTTGATGCCATCCCGTATACAACTCACAAAAAATTTGATAAAGAAAAAGTAAAAAAAGAAAGAAATAAAGGAAAAGAAATTGGAAACATTTCTGACACAAATATGCCTAATTGCGAAAACGAAGATGTTCGAAAACTTATTGATCCCATTTGCATGCTTTAAATGAACCACTAAACAGTGTGTAATTTTGTTTGTAGACATCGCCTACTTGAATATAGCTTTCATTTTCACTAAATCTATCTGACAATGAGATCAAGAATAGTTATTCATTCAAAACTTACATTTACGAGTTACAGCCACAAACGTTACTAGAACATATGCATGATGCGTAAAACATTTACGGACGTCGTCGCCTTAAAATTTACCCTCAATTTTGCTGCAGGCAACAAAACTTACGAGGAAGTGCAAATATTTAGTTATCTACTTAAAAAATAAATAACTGCATCTATCCATAAGCTTGGCTTGAAGCGATGAAAGACGTTGTGAAGGCATTGGTACACATCGTCCGTCCAAAATTCGTGCGCTTTCAATATTGCTGCATAGGCAACATACTTACCATGGAGTGCGACTAGTTATCTATTCAAAATATACACACTAATCTTGCTCTCTAAACAGCCTATGCGTAAACCTATATCCAGATATCGTTCATTAGAGATTCTCCTTCAATTTTGACGCATCAAACATACTCGGGAGTGCAGTTATCTATTCGGAAAAAAAACCAATATATTTCTCGATGAGCTTTGATTGAACTGATAAACGACGTAGTAAAGCTATTGGTAAATATCGTACTTTATGCCGTGCTTCCTTTCTCGCTTACCCCCCTCCCCCCCCCATTATTTTTCGTTTAACTTATCTCTGGCATTATGCGTCTCTCTTAAGGTTCCATTCTAAATGCATTAATAATATTTTATCATTCAAATTAACAAAATCTCATTCTGAAAAGTAACACATTGCGTAACTTACAAATTTTGAAAGTTAAGCCAGCACGTTTTACGTGAATTTTTTTGTTTTTTTTTTAACCGCACATAAGTGCTGGAACCTGGAGCCATCAATTTGCGGGCCTAAAAATTCCGGCATCAAAGAGTTTCCCTAGCGTCTCGCTTGGCTTGGCTTACGAGGCCGACATTGACAAAATCCTAAATTAGCCGGGAGGAAAATTAGTGGAAACTTTAGCGGAAAATCGACGTCGGAAAATTAACAAAAAAAACTGATTCATCCGCGAAAAGTATACAGCTGACCTTGGTTCAAGAGTTTTCTCTCTTAAGTCACATGTTTTTCAGGAATCGCAAGATCAAACGCGTCAACGCACAGCGCGTTAAGCTCGTGCGGTAATTGCAATACGTGGCAACAATGAACGATGATCGAGACGCACACCGTATATCGCTGCTCCGGACTTCGCACTGTGAGCGAAAACCTACATTTTTCCGGCTACAATTGTGGATTTACGATCGTCAATTGACGAGCTTTGTTTTACTATTTAAGGTCGCGCTAAAAAAATGAATAATAACTGTTCGAATGTCGAAATTGACTTTCGAAAAAATTGTCATTGACACGTTGAGAAGAACATTTTCTTGTTTTATACAATTAGGTAGGTCAAAAAAACACGTTTAAGGTCACAAATAATTCTCTTACACTAAAACTGTTTTGGATGAAATATTTTTTTTAAGTTTTTATTTAATTTTTCTATTTGTTTGGGAATACAATTAATTTTTTATGACAAAAGTTTGCTAAGTATAGTAATCGGCCCTAAATTGTGTTCACGCTGTTGGGGTTATGCAAATTATTCGTGTATCAAAATCAGATTGGTGGATAGCGTTTGTACCCTGATCTTGATCATCTTGACGAACACCTCTCTCCCACTTAGCGATATGGTCCTGGGCGGGCCGTGTCCCCTGCCAGCGTCAACCAAACCTACAATCCTCCAGGTCCGCGAAAGTAAAAGTTCCGCGGCGCAAGGGGAACCCCCCTCTCAGAGGAACCCTGCCGTTCCCCTCCTGGGGAGGGGGAAGGTCGCCGTCGCATGCGACCAAAGAGAGGGAAAATAAGTTGTTATATATTAATAATTCTGGTATCTTTCACCGTTACTCGAAATACTCGCGAATCAACTGGTGCCGTGTCGTGGTGCGAAAGTTCGGACTTTTTGGACTTGTGGTACAGTGCTTTGTGGAAAATTTGGAGTGATTGGAGTAACCATGAAGTTTCTGGTTAGTACTATTGTTTGTCTTTTTCATTTGAACGCTGGAAAAGGGATCATTGGACGCATTTTTTTCCTCTCTCAAAAAAGCGGCTTTTTAAGACCAAAAACTCCTCAGTCTAATAGAATTTAACTATTAGCTAGCAAGAAAATAATCAAACATTGGTCATAAGAAAAAGTGGAAAAGAGTTAAATAATTACTCCTGGGCCTGATAAAAAAAATTCCCTTTATTAGGTATTTAAAAGAAGAAATCTTTTGGAGGCAAATTACACTACAATTTTTTTAGACCTGTTCGGGTGATTGGGTTTTTTGGTAATTTTAAGCGGAAAGTTTTTCAACTGACGTTAGTATTTTAGTCTTTATGGTGGAATTTTTTTCCTATACTGTTTTATAGCTCATTAGCTCTAGTTATGAAAAATAAGGCACATTATTGAGGGTACATCCTAGGATTTTGCATGTTTAATTCCTTACAAGAAAATTGGGAAATCTTCAAAGATATGCAAGTGAAAAGGCAAGCAAATCCAATTGACGTCTAAGAAACATAAGTAGAACTCTTTAATTGTTTTTTTTTTAAATTTTGTGGAAAATGAAAATAGCATTTTTTGCCAAGGATTCTTACCTTGATTTTCTTACCGAAAACTCATTCAGCATAATCCCTGATGCATTTTTCCACGAGATGAACGCTAGATTACGCGTTTTACCTTTAAACGAGCTTTGGCCCATCAATATCTGAATCATACTTTTTTCATTTCGAGTTTTAGAACCTACGGCAAAGTGTGTCGCGTCACTTCTTTCTTTTCAAACACTTTTCATATGTTTTATAATTTAAAAAAAAAGAAAAAAAAAACTTAATAAAAATTTAGTTGTAACAAATTCGGCCAAATCTTAGGAATTTTTTCTTACCATTTCCAAAAAGGAAAATACATATAAAATTAAAGTTTTTTTCCTGAGGTTATCCAGCAACCATTTTGTGAGATTTATCACTCCAAAGTTCAAAAAGAATAAGGCTCCGCTTCTTGTTGCCTCTCATATGGAAAAAAGGGGGTAACTTAGCTGCTAGATTACGCTCAAAGATAAAAATGTCAACTTTTTGTCTCACCTACCTAAAATTCGTTATAACTTGATCAGCATTTGTCGATTTAGTTCATGTAATATTTTTTTATCAGTCAAAGCCTTAAGTTGGAAGATTCAGAGCTTTTGACCAGCAAGGGCTACTAGCAGCCATCAATAGTTTGCATCAATCGGATCATGTAACTAAACCAATCGATGACCTCACTTACTTTTAGAGCGATTCTTGGTTTTTGGGAAATCCCTGAAAGTTTCAATGATCAGTTTACTGGAGGTGACATGTTCAGAAATGCTCTCTAGTTGACGGCGGAGCCAGCCTGCGACCAACTTCTTTCGCATGACCTCTCATCCCGTTGAGAAATAGGACAGCGTTAACGTGAAAACCGAGTTCAATAGAAGAATGAGGAACATTAAGACTTCACGAGTCAGACGCGATTGGATTGATGCATGACACACTGAGGTTCGAGTAATTAAAATGCTCGATCTAATTCCAGACGAGGATGTTCCCCGTATCTTGGGTAACTCCGCAATAAATTACTGAATCTCGTTCAGATACCTCAGATGTGCGGCTAGACCCCCTCAGCTGAACGTACTTAACTATACCTGCTTAGTGGAAAATGTTGTTAATGGCTGTGTACCTGTTGAATAATTGTAACTTACCCCTTGATGTGGTGTTACACGCTCAAAGAAGACGCTCTCTTCGAGCGTCTGTGTGTTGGTCCCTCAAAAAGGTGGGAGTTGGAATTAACAAAATTACAAAACAAGGTATAGCTGACGGTATTAAGAAGACGTTGGTACATCAATGGACCTCAAACATTATCATTAAAAAGTCGAGAAAATTATTTTGCAAATTTTGACTCAGGAAGGAGTAAGATTTTTCTGCTACTCTCACGAGATTCTAAGATACATTCATTTGCCTTGACTTATACGGTTCCTACAGTCCGTACTGGTAGATACAATTTTTGAAATGGAGGCGGGGAACTATTGCTCCAAATCTCATTGGTTATCGTCCCCTAGAGAGGTCATTTTAATATGCCAAAAACTGCAACTTAATAGATTAAAGTACCGCACCAGAGAAAAGTGCATCAATGTATTACGGTATAGTGTGTGTATTAGTCGCTTTCATCACATCGCACTAGGGCGCTGTGCAACCCTAACCGACAAACGAATTTTTTATGATAGGAATATTTCGAAGGGTGGTTTCTCTCCATCTCTTTTTGGATGTCCTCTATCAATGTATTAGCTGGACGCCCTCTCTAACGCCTATCTGGAGGATCCTACCCCAATACCTACCGATGAAGAATTTGCACGAAAAAAATGTATTGCTGCATGTGAGAAGGCCTAACGAGCTGCGTTCCTAGTATTTTTCATAATTTCTTTCTGATCCAGGATTTTATAGAAAAATACATTTTAAAGTGAGAGAATCTGCCGCTTTGTGACGTCTTAAGGCGGCATTTCCCATTCAAAACGCAGTATTTAAGCGATTAGGTCATTTGGTAATATGTCTTCTAAAAATTGTTCGTTTTAGAAATCGAGGATATTCTCGTGGTCAGTTCACTCGGTACTTTCTCTTTAAATGTGATACTCCAAAATTTCAGGCACCTGCAAATTCTCCATTACGGCATCAGAAAACGCCTAAAAACGTCAATCCAAACCGAAGGTATGACGTTGAGAACTTAACATGGATACAGATTTTTATGAGCAGCCCAAGAGAATGGTAACAGTAGAAAAACAAGGGGGAAAAACGCGGAACAAGGATAAAATATACAATTAAAAGAAACCGAGACGTTTTGACTCAAAACTGGGTCATTTTCATTCGGAAATTACAATAAAAATTTAAAAAAAAAAACGATGGAAAACCTGAGCCCTACATGGTGATGGCCGGGATCTGAGAAAATTGATAATACATAGTTTTTTTTTTTTTTAAAAAAAAAAAAAAAAAAAAAATTATAATTTCCGACTAAAAATGACTCAGTTTTGAGTCAAAACGTCTCGCTTTCTTTGAATTGTGTATTTTAGCCTTGTTTCCCGTTTTTCCCCCTTGTTTTTCTACTCTTAGAACTTAACACTGTCCCCGAAACTTATATTTTGCTTCACCCAATCACATTACTTGAATTGTTAGTGGAGGGTCTCTAGGATATGCGTTCTTTTGGAGTATGTGAGCATGATGCACATCCTATTAGCCGGCTAGTTGGAAATCAATTCTGTCGCTCGGACAAGCATGAGCATAAGCCGGTCGTGATTCATGCAATTCGTTCCATATGTGGATGGTCAAGATGTCACCAAGGAGTCAGCGCGTCTCCTCTGCGTCTAGCCGTCACTAATCGCGGATGGCGGATGTTAAGTTGACAGGTGCTCGGCCGTCGCGCGCCGCGCCTGCCGCCGCATCTCGCGCCGCCTGTCCAGACTTCCTCCATCCTCCGTAAATCGGGCTCCCTTGAGTTTGATCGCCGGCGGATGGACCATTGTTCCGGTGAACTTGAGAGCCGTTCGGCCCGGGCCAGCTTCGACAAAGACTCTCACCTTGCAGACAACCCGCGTTATGCAACGATTTGATCGATTTTCGGGTAATGAGAATTCCAAATTGGCTTCATTTTACGGCGTTTGTACGAGTATGCTTCGAAATCGGCCTCCAAAATCGCCGAGGCACGGTAACTCATCGAGAAGTGAATTTCAGTTTCAGGCTCCGACAATGGGCCTGTTGCAAACGTTTGTCATAGCGAGAAGAGCAGTTTTCTTCTCCCTATATTATCTAAGGGAATGGAGAATTCGCAGGTGTCTGGAATTTGATGAATTTCGTGTTTAAATGGAAACTATACTAAATGAACTGAAGACGAGGATACTCTTGGTTCATGAATTGAAAAATTATTGGAGAAGATATGACAAAATTATCTAATCTACTGAAATACGTCTGTATAAATGGGAAAGGCCGTCAGATGACGTCACTAGGCGGTGCATTTTCTCTTTTTTATACTTTTGCCCATATCAGAAAAAAAGTATAAAAAATTCTGTGTAATCAGCTCTTTAAGCTCACTCAGGTGAAGCATTAAAAAATTTGCATGCAAATTCTCCATTGGCCTAAAATCTACATGCTCACGTCAAACTGTCTAAAATATATTCTTGGCTTTGTAATCAGTGTTATAAATGTGCTCACTTTTACGCTTCCCACTTCAAAAAGTATATTCCCGGAGAGACCTAATTTGATGCACCGAAAAACAGGATGCTGATTCAACATTCTGGATGTGAAAATTGGTGCGACAGCGCTGAATAAACCGATACAGCAGTTGCTTCAGCAATTTCAAGATGTAACACTGACTGCTGTGGCGGTTAATTCAGCGTTTTGCGACTTGCCACACAATTATTTACATCTAGAATATTACATCGATGTCCTTTTTTATTTTTCGAGGTACAAATGAATCATCCTATATTTACAATTCCACACGAAGCTATAAAATGGTCATTATCGTGTGACACAGTTCCTCGAATAAAAAAAGACAAAAATTCTATTAATTGAACTGCACTTGAAAAGCAGGAACAAGAAGATTTCGGATTAATGGCTTCTGCTTTGTTAATTGTTTTTAATTGAAAAACTGTGACACACAACGACGGTTATTTTCAGTTACGCTTGGAGCCAGTGGAGTGGCGTGAATTGCGATATATCGATTGTTATGCCATTTAAACCTATGGAAAATGATCGATAAACAAGGTGTTCGCTGCGAAATAATCGATTCTTTACCATTGGTTTAAATGGCATAACAATCGATACATCGCAATTCACGCCACGCCACTGCTTGGAGCTGTGAAATTAGGGTGACGCACTGAAGCATGTATCAAATTATTCGTTTTTCTTGCTTTATATTTTTAGGCAAGAAACCAAAAAATGCACACATTTCTTTCGCAGATTGAGAAATCCGACATTTTTCAAGTTTTAATAGTGATTT